ATTAAAACATCCTCTTTAAAAATACTCATATTATCTCTCCAGACCGTGTGCCCAGGCCTGGTAATCTGTCAGCCAACAAGTATTTATTAAGTGACAAGGTTTGCCTCTCCTCCAGCAAATCCCCAGAGGACTGTTCTATCCGGGAGTGAGTCAGAACAACACAAGGCTAAGAGCACGGCCACCCACACGGCACCTGTGTGTCCCCAGCTTGTTCTTAACCCGCCTGGAACTCAGTCTGCATCAGTAATATGAGGACTTTTGACCATAATTTCTAATAATAGTAGCAGCTCCCTCCAAAGGTTATTGTGAGAAATCAATTGATGCAAGTAAATAACAATTTGTATTTTGTAGGCAGTGCTATTGGCTTCCTATTACGAGGTTACTTAACCTAAATACTATTTCACAAGAGACCTTGGAGATCACACAATTATTAGCTGATATTTACAGAGCACCGGGAAAAGTCCTGAGATAAATATTTTCTATGGTCATGCACATGAGATTGAGCTTTCTAAATCTAATTCACTCTGACATTCAAAGTAATGATGTTGTAAAATAATAATAATACTATGATTAGCCAAAATATAATATATTGAGCAGTTACTGCTGCCTTCTTCCATATTTTTCATGTTTTATTATTTACATTCCTTTCCACACAAACGAAATACAAACTCTCTCACCCTATTGACCAATGTACTGTACTCAATATATCATCAAGTATAAGGAATCTATAATGTGTATGGTTAAATAATTTAATGCCTGATCAACTTGGAGTTCTTGGGCCACCTGCAGTGAATTATGGATTAGTTAATAAACGTAATGGAGTGCAGTCTCAACTGAATGTACTGTTACGTGAACAGCAAGAGATTCTCGTTCTACAATAATACAGGTAGACCCTGCTTTCAAAAGTTCGCTTTTACACCACTTCACTTTTACGGAGACCTACATTGGTTCCTGTTTTCGCTAACTAAAAGAAATCTGAAAAGGATTTTGCTTTTATGATAAAAGGTGAGAAGCGAAAATAGCTTAGAGTGTTTGTGTTGCAGGGTGTGCCCTGAGCAGGGAAAGGGGCCCCGCCCAGCTCCTTCCCCAGGAACTGCGCTCAGCATCTCAGCTTTAAGCCTTCGCAGCTGTGCACTGTCTGGGAGCATCTGTGCTTTGTCTTCATTTATTTTGTGCATCGTTCCCACGATGTGTCCTAAGGCAATTGCCTCTTTGCTTTACACAATTTCAGTTTATGAAAGGTTTCATGGGCACCCTCTATGTTGGATAGCAGGGGAAGCCCGTGCATGCTTAAATAAGATGCTTATCGTTGTAAGTAAAAGCATAAACATTCTATTTCTTCAGTCACTCATGATCCTCTGGTCCCAATCAAATTTAAAAAGGAAAAATCCTATGTTCTATGGTGCCCTGAGCTTCTGAACACAGGATTAGAGCTGTGTTCATAAATGCTTCTACCACACTTGACTCTGGAGAGAAATCCATTCCTTAATTACAGAATGCCTTAAATACACCAGGCACTGTTCTAGGTTCTAGAAAAACTGCAGTAAACAAAACAGCAAAATCCTTGCCATCTTAAATTGTACCTAGTGGAAGGGAAAGCAACACAGCAAATAAATGTGTTAACATGGGACTCTGGCTCAGTTGCAGGTGAGGGACCAAGGCTGAGGGTTGGAAAACACTCCCTCATACTTCAATGAAAAGGGCATTTGATTCAACCCATGGTTCCTTGTCCCACGGAGGATATGAAAGAGAATATTAGAGAAGCTGAAGGAGGTGGATATTGTCAAGAGAATTCCAAGCCTAGTGAGAAAGGCTTCAGTGAGACCACCCTGGGAGCTCAGGGGACATACTACACTGAAAGCCACTCTGATTTGAGAAATCCAAAGGTGAGACTCTTGCTGAGGGAAATAGCTGCACACTGACCGATGGCTGATTGAAGGTGCCTGTTCCCCGTGCTGTGAGTGTGCGCCCGAGTGTGTGTGTGTGTGTGTGTGTGTGTGTGTGTGTGTGTGTAAGAGAGAGAGAGAGAAAGAGAGAGAGAGAGAGAGAAGAGATAAAAAGAGAGAATAACACTCTAGAGCCAACTTAAAGTCACCTTGCCTAAGAAAGACTATGGGAAAGGTCAGCATTAGAGCAAGGAGATCAAAGGGAGCCATAGCCAGTGGGTGGAGAATCCTTGGATGCTGGGAAGCGCTGCCACCACTGGGCGCTGGAATATGCTTAGTAATTCCTAAAAGCTCCTCCAACTCTCAGATTCAGCAATTCAGAAGAACCCCCAAGTAAGTTACGTGTATTGAACCCCCAAGCAATTGTCTTCACTCAAACTCCTTTTTGCAACTTAATAACATGTCTATATGTAACTAACATCTCCTGATCTCCCTCCGTCTCCCACACAGTTGTTTCCAGCCTGACAGCAAATCTGTGTCTAGTCACAGGCCTGCGGAAAGCCTCAGGCACACTCAGATGATCAGTGTCCTGCTGGGAGCCCTGTGGACACCCCAGTGCAGAGATGGCTTTCACATGTAGGCCACTTCAAGAACTACTACAATAAAGACCCACCTTCTCAGCCAGGATTCTGAATTCCCCACCTGCTAGGGCCCCCTGTGGATATACTTTTGGGGGGAAATACTTGTAGGGGGAAATTCCAACAGATCAAATGGAGACCAGAGGATCAGAGAGTAACTTTCAGGTATATGCATCACGCATTGGGTTCAGGTGAGTCTGTGTTATGGACATAGTCCTGTGGACATGCACAGAGGCCTAAGCAGCTTTTGGGGGCGGTGGGGGGATCTGAATTTGCTTGCTGTTTCTAGGCAGAGACTGTCTGTGAGCAGGTGGTGCAGGGATTACTAACAGTTCTTTTCAGTTTGCCAATGCACTTCTCATTGATTTGTGTGAAATGTGTGCGAACATGAGTTGGATAGTTCTAATTCCTGAGGAGTCTCATTGCAGCTTCTCCCCAGGTCTGACGTGGTATGATCCACTCCACATAGGCATTACTGGTGTTCTTGTCCACTCGCTGCCAGAATCGCCCAACATGGGATATTTCAAAACACAGACATAAAAACACAGGGCTTGTGCTTTCCAGGTGATCAGAAATAAATAGGTGGGACATTCTTTCCTGGAGTCCCTCTGCATTTCCATAGACAAATCAATAAGGCTATGAATATTGGTCATGCTTCTTATTAAAATGCAGGGGGGAAAAGAAAATAATCATTACACTGCATCCAGATAGTAACTGAAAAAGATGCCTGTGGGTTTGTTTCCCTTTTGAGCTCAGTTCTTCCTTCGTCTCCTGTCAGGAGCAGCACCCACAGAAATCTGTGTACTCACTGTGCTTTGCTTGTGCACTGACCTCATGACATTCTGTTAATTCAGAATATGGCTATACACAGAGAGGAGTTGCTTTTTTGCATTTGCTTTCACATTTCAAGTATGAGCTCCCTGACAGGGCCAGTCGCTGCTGCACTTGGGCATAAAGGGTGGGACCATTGTCATGCAGTTGTGACACAGTTGCAATCCCACCCCTACTGAGGCTGAGGTAAGAGCTGGGCTGGTTGTTCAGGAAGAAGGCAAAGCGGTCATTGTCACATAACGATGAAGGGAGGAAATATCAGTTACCTGATTTCCAGATGAAAGGATAAGGGGACACCTTGATATATCAATAAAAGCAATAGATACTTTACTGGACTATACACAGGTCCTCTTTTCTAAAGTGGTTTATTCTGAATGCGTCTTTCTTTCAAACATAAGCTCCAAGCCATGAAGTAGGAGTTGCCTGTATATTTCATCTTGGTTCTGAGGCCAGAAGCTACTCTGTTTACTAGTAAAGGCCTTTGTTTATACTGAACTCTAGGAAAGAGGCTAAGTTGGGTGGGGTCACATAAACAACGAATTTTTGGTTTGAATGTGGATTTGTATAAACTCCCATTTCTGGACCCCTTCTTAACTTTGTGTATTAAGGATTTAAGTGACTTAGAAAACTATTACTTAAACTCTTCCTGTGGCAAGAAAATCAGCATAGCATCTGCAGTCATAACTGTTCAGATGAATGGTCATAACATGCACTGTAAATGTAATAGTTAAGGGGAGGAATGGAAAAGATCGTCATTATTGGCTGTTACAGCCTTTACTTTTTTCCTGAAGAGGCACCACTCTGAACTGGCAGCCTTAACCCACGGCCTTTTCCAACCATACCACAGGTTGGGCCAAACAGCTTCCTTTTCCTCTCGTGTATCCATACAGCCATCATACTCACCTAAGGCCTTTGGCCCTTATTTCTTATAATGTTATTGTTTTGAAAAGCAATTTATAAATTAACTCAGTGCAGTTTAATTTTAATATTTGTGGGTGAACTTCAAATACATAAATTGATAAACCAGATCATGCTTCCTAATCAGAGCCTCAGGAGAAATTGCTCTTTTCTATAACTTCAGGTTTTTTTAAAGCAATGGGAAAGAAATCTAACGTTTTGTAGTAAAATGCTTGAGAAACTATTCCTCAAACTCACATCACTCAATCACAGTACTAGATAGAGGCATATGTAAGAGATCTCAGCTGATGTGTAAACAACTCATGACTAGGACTCGGTTTCTTATCCAATCCTCCTGTTGGCAGCTTAGAAATGTAAGATACCTCACTGCCTCTTTCCTACTTGCAATCCAATATGCAAAGCATGTGCCAATTTTGTCACACCATCTGCCTTATTTCATTGACAATGCAGTGAGTTTGTCTTAACTAGCCAAAACATTCCAGATGTACTGCAAGCCTACTAAGAGAGAGTTAATGTGGAACTTGCATGGGGATATTATTGGTGTAAGTGACATGTATTCAACATGTTCCGCACTGCTCTTCTTGGTGCAGCTGTTCACAAGTGTGACACCCAGTCTCCACTGGCCCAGCTTGCTGCAGAGACAGCGTCTATCCCATCAGATAAAGACAGCCCAGCAGAGACAGAAAATGCATTCAGAATGTGGCACAGAACAGTAACTGTCTCTTACCTTGCATCGTCGCTCTTGTTGGTTCTGAAAACAGAGGGATGAGCAAGAGGTAGATGAGGTAGACAAAGGAGAGTCCATTGTACCGGAATGCACATGCTGTGGGGAGAGAGAGAGAAGAGAAAAAATGAGTTAATAAGGTAGGCTAACAGGATATAAGCAACTGTGTGGTGATAGCATCAAGTATCGCTGGATCAAGCTAAGTAGATATGTCAATTAAGAAGTAAAAATTGAGCATTTATTCTGTGTTCATTTCTATGTGGAGGAGGATGAAAAATGGAGAATTAAATGCATGGCCCCTGCTCTTAAAATCTAACCAGGAAGGCAACACCAATGTATCTGAATGAAGGCAGGTCATAAATAAGTCAAAAAATAAGTAAGCAAATTAAAATTGCTACAAAAATATAGAGGGAAATGGAATTAGTGAGAGTTTGAGGTGTCAAGGTTATCAATGGAAGCGATAACACTGAAGAAAAGAGAAGAACAATATTGGGTAAATGTTCTATGGCAGGGCTTGGTACTCAGTTAATCCTCATTTTATAAGTACTCGCAGGCTCAGAGAGACTCGGTCACTAACCTGATTCTCCCAGTTAGGATGTGACTGAGGCAGAACTTAGTTCAGACTGCAAGCCTGTGCCTGTACCTTTTATCACTCACCTTAAAAGTAGCACAGAACTCCAGTGGAGGCCTTGTCCCTCCAAGTTCCCATTTCCTCACCTGTGAAATGGGTATAATAACTGTCTCTAACTTGATGAGCTTATGCTCTAGAAGCTGGCAGTGGAAGAGGCAAAAGAAGGGAAAATAAGGATAGTGTGATAGGGGAGAAAGAAATCAACAAAAAGAGCTCTTTATCTCAAGGTGGTCATGCATGTATTTGTAGCTTTGATAACATAACTGACATTCCCAACCTCCTTTGTGAAAGATATAAAGCGGGAACAAGTGTTCACACTATTGATTGTACTGACAGGAAAATACATAAATGAGATAATATAGAAGAATAAGAACATGTGTCTGACTCATACAACTTAATAAAAGGAAGATAAACAATCCAATAAAAAAAAATGGACAATGGACCTAAATAGATACTTTTCAAAAGAGGACATACAGAAGGCCAAGAGACATATGAAAACATGCTCAAAGTCACTAATCATCTGAGAGATGCAAATCAAAATGACAATGCAGTATCATCTCACACTTGTCATAATGGCTATCATCAACAAATCAACAAACAACAAGTGCTGGTGAGGATGTGGAGAAAAAGGAACCCTCATGCACTGCTGGTAGGAATGCAGACTGGTGCAGCCACTGTGGAGAACAGTATGGAGTTTCCTCAAAACACTAAATAATGGAAATCCCATTTGACCCAGTGATCCCACTTCTAGGAATATATCCCAAGAAACTAGAAACACCAATCAGAAAGGATATATGCACTCCTATGTTCATAGCAGCACAATTTACCATAGCTAAGATTTGGAAACAGTCTAAGTACCCATCAGCAGATAAGTGGATTAAAAAAATGTGGTACATTTACACAATGAAATACTACACTATGGTAAAAAAAATAAGGAGCTCTTACCATTTGCAACAGCATGGATGGAACTAGAGAGCATTATGCTAAGTGAAATAAGCCAGTCAGAGAAAGATAAATATCACATGATCTCACTCATTTGTGAAATATAATGAACAACATAAACTGATGAAGGAAAACAGATCCAGAGACAGAGAAACATCGACTAGTCTGTCAAACCTCAGAGGGAAGGTAGGGGAAGATGCGGGGGGAAGGGGGAGAGATCAACCAAAGAACTTATATGCATGCATATAAGTATAACCAATGGACAGAGACACCCGGGGGAGAGGGTGTGAGTCAGGGTGGTGGGGGATGGGGGAATGGGAGGGGAATAAGGGCACATATGTAATACCTTAATCAATAAATAAAAAAAGATCATACGTCTGAATTGCCTTTATAGCTTCCCTCCCCACCCCCCTTCTGCTTCTTATTTCTCATCCAGAGTTGAAGTTCCCTAAAAGCAATCCAAAGGTATTTGGTTATTCATTCAGTCAATATTTATTGAGCATCTCCCATGTGCCAGGACCATCAAAGATCCCTTCCTGCCTCCGGAAGCTTAGGTTTTGGTGGGGAGATGTATGATGAACAATAAAAGGTCAATTACATGTGTTGGAAGATAAGGGTTACATAAACAAGAAGTCAGCAGGAAAAGAGGGACCCCCGGTACACTGGGTGAGGCGGCCAGTGGCAGCATCCATTAGGAACACGGAAGATAGACCTCGATGAGAAAGTGCGATTTGAGCCAAGAGGTGAGCTAAGTGAGTGAGTTGGCCAAGCCACCTCGTGTCAGGCAGAGTCAGTGGCTCAAGCCAAGGCCCTAGAGCAGAAGCCGACCTGGCCTGTCTGATCTGCCCATGACAGGGAGGCCAGTCCGCAGCCGAGTCCTGGATTGGGCCCGATCATGCAGGCCTGTTAAGGGGTCAGAGGACGGTGGTTTTTCTCTGAGATGTTAATTCAGTGACAGGTCTTCCTCTTGGCTCAAGGTTGCAGACCTGCCTCCTGCCTGTGCCTGCAGCTTCCTTTCCACCCAGGCACATTCGATGCTCTGTGCTGCCACGCAACTCAACAGCCAGCTCTTTCCATCTGCTCTGCTGCTTCCTGCCTTTAGACCTTCCAGGCACCATTCCCTCCCTCCTCCTAGAACATCTTCCTGTCCTTCCGGTCAGGCACAGTCCCACACAGCTCACCTGTTTCCTCCTATGGGAAGTTGACCACATCCATGACCTCCCCCAAACAGAAGTGCACTTCCCTCGTTGGTGCCTCTTCCAGAGCACCTCTCCTTCAATGCCACAAGCCTCTGTGTATGTCTGTGGCCATGCCTGTTCTGTCCAGTGCCCTGTGCCCAGGAGATGCTCATGCTCACAGAAGGAATGAATAAATGAATAAGATGAAATAAAAAAGATGCGAGGGCATCTAAAAAGGAAATTAGGGTATTCAGGTGTACAACATTCTTGGTAGCATAGAAACATCACAATTGACATTGCCCAAAATAAACATTTAGTCAACTACAGTATTTCTTTTATTTTTATACTTAAGGTGTTTTGTTTTGTTTTGTTTTAATGATGTGATTTCTATTATGAAGCAGATTACCTAACTCTGTGCATTCCTGGGTAAAGAGAAAATTTACTTGTATAATTGCATTGCTTTGAAGTAGCATTCATAGTGCACTCGTCAGCTGTGGACTTGTATCTGTAAATGACTTACACCAATGAGCCTGCTGTGTGTCAAGCCCTGATCTGGGCACTACACATACATCAACTCATACCATTACTGTCTTCCCTTTACAGATACTGTTTTATTCTCTTGCTACACATGAAAAAGCAGGCACGAGGAGAAAGCACGCTGAGTGCAAGCACAGCTAAGTAACAAGCTGAAGACTGAGCCTGGGAGTCTAGTTCCTGAGTCTGCGTCATCATCAGAAATCCTCTGGGCCTTATCATCACTGCTGCACATCCCTGTCTACCTCCTCCCTGGTTAACTGCCAAGGGCTCAAGGAGCAATGCCTTCCTCCCACAGGTTGACAAACACTCTGTATGTATTTTGCTGTTTTATATTTATAACCCTTTTCTGTAAGGTTTTATATTATGCATGGTAGACATGTATATACAGAGGATATTTCTGACGGTTAACTTTGAAGGAGGGAGAAAGGAGTCTACTCATGGTTTCTCACAACACAACCTTTATTTATAGGAAAATCTAAAGAGGAGTGGCCCATAGTGGTAGGCAGCCTGTAAGTAGTCCCCAATAAAAGTCCCCTGGTTGCAACACTAGTGAGTAAGCCCTGCTCTTGAGTGTGGGCTGGAGCTGGTGACTCACTGCCAGGGAACAGAGAGTGTCCGGATCCCATCTGGTGGCTTCTGCCCTGGCCACCCTCTCTGCCTTTATTCTTGCTCACTCTGAGGGAAGACTGCTGTCAGTGAAAAGGCTCATGTGGCAAAAAACATATCTCTAGCCAGTAGCTAGCCCGCACCAACCAACAGCCACAAGTTACTAGTAGCTTAGAAGCCGGTCCTCAGAGGACTGTGCCCTAACCAACCCCTTGACTGCAGCCTGTCAGAGCGCCTGAGCCATTCCTGACTCCCAGAAACTCTGAGATAGTGTTTGTTGCTTTAAGAGACAAAATGTTTGGGTAATTTGTATGTAGCAATAGGTGATTAATACAAACTTAAAAAAAACTTAATCCACCTCTAAAAATCCAACTTCAATTATGTTTTAGTCTGAAATTGTGCCATTTGATGACAATGGCCAAATTGCTAAATTCCCCACTTTAATATGCTTAAAGTTGCTACCCAGGAATTACCCAAGCATATGGGGACTTTGAGTGCCATATCTAAGTGAGTTATCCCATCTAGGGATATGCTTTTAAATTTGTCAATAAGGCACATCCTATATAATAAAACCCTAATATGCAAATCAACTGAATGGCTGAAAGGCTGGTCACTATGATATGCATTGACCACCAGGGGGCAGATGCTCAATGCAGGAGCTACCCCGTGGTGGTCTTTGCACTCCCACAGGGGGAGGACAGCTAATTCAGAAGCTGGGCTCACAACTGGGAACTGCAGAGCGGGTGGCAGGAGCCTCCCCAGACTCTAAGGCAGTTCTAAGGGGATGTCCGACTGCCAGCATAGGCCCACTCCCCCAAGGGGTCCCTGACTGTGAGAGGGTGCAGGCTGGGCTGAGGGCCCGCCTCCCCAATGCACAAATGTCATGCACTGGGCTGCTAGTTTGAGCATAAAAAGCCTTAGAATGCAAATAGCAGCTGTTCCTTTATCAAGCGAGATATTGCCTTTGTTCAGGACCTGGTGACACTTCTTGCATATTCATTACTCTTCCTAAGGAACTTCATATTATGGCTGCACTATGTTCCCAATTCCCCACACCTCTCTCATGGACAGTCAAGTCACTGGGACCTCTGTCCTCTGCCTCAAGAATTTTACTGTTGAGCCGAAACCTGTTTGGCTCAGTGGTAGAGCGTCGGTCTGCAGACTGAAAGGTCCCTGGTTCGATTCCGGTCAGGGGCATGTACATT